ACTTTAACAAAAAAATTTATGTAACTGACTTGTTTGTGTGGACATTCCTGTTGTCACTTCCTGAATCAGTGTGTTCCCATTTCTCCTCTTAGGGTACGTCTACAGAGCAGGGCAAAAGTCAAATTAAGCTACGCAACTTGAGCTACCTTAATTACGGAGCTGAAGTCGAAATAGCTTAATTCGGCTTTTGGCAGCAGGAAGTCGAAGAACAGTCTTCCTTTGATTTCCCTTACTCCTTGTAAAAAGAGGGCTACAGGAATCAGAGTGAGAAGCCCGTTATTTTGAAATTATTTCAAAATAACGGTCTCGCTTTGTAGATACACTCTTTGTTATTTTGGAATAACGTTATTCCAAAATAACACTGCTGTGTAGACGTACCCTTGGAGATGTAGGCAGGCATGTTCAGTGTTCAATTGAACACTTCTGTTTGATTTTTGCAGTTGATAGAAGTTACTGATTCTTTTAATAAATGTGAGTTGGTTGCCTCATCGTATTTTCTCTAATTTTTTTTTTCTGGAAGGGTCAATATTCTCTCGAGTTGAAGAAGATTATCTTTGGAGGATAAAACAGCTAGGATCACACTCTCCATTTGCTCTTCTGAATACACTGTTCTACTTTAACACTAAATATTTTGGCCTGAAAACAGTGGAACAGCATTTAAGACTTTCCTTTGGCACTGTTTTTAGACAGTGGAAAAAAAATCCTCGAACAATGGACAGGAAAGCTTGTCTTCAATACCAGGTTTCTTCTCTGTGCGGAGCTGATAGTGAAGGTACTATTGACAGTTTCAAAATAAGTATTATAGGGGCATCCAGATTTTGCCCAATTGAGGGCCACTTTGGCACCTGTCCAGGAGCCTGAGGACTGCACCTCATTTCCATAAAACTAAGCAGCTTTCAGCTACTGGATCTTTAATATGAATGTGGGGTCTGCAGAGACTACAAGGTCACTGCATTTAAATGTTCCATCTTGATTCAGCTGGCCTCCATGTCAAATGCTGAAACCTTGTGTATGGGCTACATCTCCAGTTTAGAGATGCAAGTGTCTGCATTGCAATATTCACCCTAATCTGTTATGTTAAATATAAAAATGAAAATAATTATATTAGCTAATGTTTTCAAGTTGTGGTTTAGAGGTTTGTTTTTTTCCTTTTTAAAGATAAAATTACTACTGGAAAAAGGAAACATGAAGATGATGAGCCAGTATTTGAACAAATTGAAAATACATCAAATCCTGCTAGATGTCCTGTGAAAATGTTTGAGTGCTATTTATCTAAGAGGTAACTGTTTTCATATAATAGTATAGGAGTGTTTTTAGAGTTGTTAGGATGCAGAAGGAGAGACTATTATGGTGCAATGTGAAATATGTTTACACAAATTAATGAACGTAGTATTTGAGAAATATGCTAGATTGAAAGCACTGGAATTTACAGTATAAATTTCCTCTTGTTCTGCAGAAAGACACTCCCTCCAGGGATGAGTGTGGGGTTTGGTTTTCTATCTGTATTAAATCATGAGAATATCTGCTCCACTTGCCAATAGAGGAGGCCTAGTTCATTCAGATACTGATGTTGTGTCTTTTAGTATTGCACATCCATTCACAAAACAGTCTTATTTTACATAGACCTCCAGGAAGTCGTATAATAACAACAACTTTCAGTTACTACCGATTTCTGGATTTGGAAATACAGGCCTATAAAACTCCATTATCTGTCGATTTCTCTGTTTAGATGTTAAATGAGAATGTGAATTACGTAACAGAAAACCACCAGGTATTTAAACTGGGAGAAATTCAGATACTCAACACCAATGAAACACATTTTATTTATGGTGATAGTATATGGTTATTCCAAGCAAATATTCTCTATTTTTATTGAAGACAAGTATTTTAGGTTTTTTCTCTTAGTGACTGAAAGTCTTCAAACAGCTGTAATTCTACTTTTAATGGACTTTCACTGCATATTAATATTCTTTTGGTCTTTTTAGGTTGAAATAAATTTAAGTTTGAGCAAACATGATTATGTTCTTTATATTGCGTTCTTTATATTGCTTGTAAATTGACGAGTTGGTATAAAGAGCCCAATTGTGTGCTTCTCAGCCAGGCAAAAATGCCATTGAAAAATAAGTTTCACATTAATTACAAATTTAATGAAAAGTTTTATTATGCAAGTAAATGTTATGAAGTAATTTAAAAATTCTGGAGTTTATTTTCATTGAAGACTGCCTATATGGTTAATTCATTTCAAGTTCAGATAGATTTGCAATAGCCCAGTCAAAATGCAGGGTTACATTTTTTTTTCACAATGTGAGTCAGCAGTTTTTGCACTGACTCATCATTTGAAAGGGTGTATGACTTTCCTAAATTAATTGTTTAAAAAACAAAACAAAAAAAAGCTTTGGGCAGATAAAACTTGAAATTTTCATTTCAGAAATTGAATATTTTGGAGATGTCTGTGGTAGAAAACTGTAGAACTTAACATAGTAAACATTTTGCAACTTTTAAATGAAAGTATGACTGACAACTGCTGTGATACAAATATATAGCTGTCAATTGTTATGTTACAATCTTACGCAAACTGAGGGAAATCTCATTGCAGGTTTTGCAAGTGAATAATGTAAGTTCCATAGAAATTTCACAAAGTATAATATAAAGCCCAAAATGTTTTAGTAGACTGTACTTTAAAATTGAAGATATAATTTATGTGGCAGAAACTACATCTTTAGTTTCTCTCATTGTAATTTGCAATGTTCTATTGTATATTTGAAAATCAGTTCCCATTAAATAGTCCTTGCCCTGCTAAAATATGTTTGCTTGAACATTAAAATCACTCACCCTGTAAGGCGCATATGCGATTGCATGTTGTAGAGCAATGGTTCCCAATTGCCAGCCTGTGAACCGCTGGCTGCTGGGCCATGGCACACTGCTAGGCCATGCCCATGCCTCGATGATTGGCTCGGTGGGACTCTGGAGCCAACCCAGCTTGCCCAGAAACCCCCCTTCTCTCTCCAGGATTGTCTCTTCTCCCTGGCTTCTCTACATGATGCTGCCTTGATGCGGGGAATACTGCCTGAGCCCAGGGTCAAGAAAGCCACCAGGGACGGGGGCTAAAGCATGGCAGGTTGCTTTCTAGTACCCAGTAGCAGCAGGCAAGGGCTCTGGGAGCCAGGTCTGGTCTCAGCCCCTGTAGTAGGAAGTTACTCGCAGCCGCTGCTCATGGTGACTGGGGCCAGGAGCCTCTCCCAGGGCAGCGCCCCCAACAGCCTGGCCAGCCCCTGATCCCAGAGTGGGCTGTGCTTGGGGGGCAGGTAAAAGAAACCTCTCCCTCCCACCAGGAGCAGTGCCCCAGGGCTGCAAGGGAGGGAGGGTTTGGTCCCTGACTGCTCCCAGCGGAGCTGGCTGCAATCCCTGCCCAGGGCCCAGGGAAACTGCTGCCAGCTCCCAGCGTGTGTGGGGCAGGGGGAGCCAGCCCTGAGGGGATCAGGAGGGGGCCGAAGGGAGTCGGGGCGGGTAAGGGGGAACAGGGATGTGTGAGGAGGGGGATACAGGAGGCGCTGAAGGGAGGTTGGGGAGATTCCAGGGAGACTTATGGGGTGAATGGGAGCAGGGGTGCAATGGAGAGAAACTCTAAGGGAGGGAAAGGGGGGATGCGGGATGAGGAGGCTGGGGGGAAACATTGGGAGCAAGAGCAGCCTGGCTGGGGAAGGAAGAGACACAGGGCAGAGGTTGTACAGTAGGAGATGGAGATGCAATGGCAGTGCCCCCACCCCAGAGGGCAGAGGTGGCTGATGGGTAGCACTTGGGGGGCACTAGCTTCTATGTCACTGACAACATTTCAGTTGCTAAATAGGGTGACCCACATGCCCCCTACCCCTGTGGGTGCCCCTCAGTGCACCCCTCCCTCTGCAGGGACCAGTTGCCCCTGAGAGAAGGGCTGCCCCACCCAGCAGCCAGAGGGGAATTCTTTCTGTGAATTCTTTTTAGTGTTGTAGATATCTGCAAACTCTGATCCGTTATGACATGTATTGTGTGCATTCAGACGCGATATAAAACAACACGTGACATCTTAAAATTAATTTCAATAATTTACATGCAAATACGTAAATAAAATGTTACCGATCCGCCAAAAGGTTGTTAATGGGTTTGCCAGTCCATGGTATAAAAAAGGCTGGGAATCATTAATGTAGAGGTATATTTTTGTTTACTACTACTACTACATAGCCAGTAAATGGAACATAAAAGACGCTTTCAAGAAGCTTACTTGAAAAAATGGAAAGGAGAGAAAAAAGCAAACAATTATAGAAGCATCCAGAATATCTCTTCTGTTCCTAATAATGTCATAATTTTAAAATAAAATACAATATTTTAGACTGGGACTGCAATTGTGGACTGTCTGTCCTGGTCTTGTTTGCTGCCATACCTGTTAATGCACTCATCCAGTGAAGGGGAGAAAAAGGTTTCCTGCATAGTTGAAATTATTTTGTAAAATATCGCTTTAAAACAATATTTAATTAAAACTCTTCTCTCAATTTCAAGTAGTGGTCTTGTAGTCTGTAAGTGGGTTTTGAAACTGGTACTTGAGAATCAGCTGAAAACCTGCATCTGGAATTTTCAAGGAAAGCCTTTCACTTTAAGCTGCTGGGAACATTTCATAGCCAGTTTCAAAATAAACAGGTCTTGTTGTTGAGAATCAGGTGAGGAGGATATTACAAACTTCAAATATAATATCAAATCCAAACAACTTCCAAAAGGCATGTATCAGTACTATTGGTTTTGAAAATCTGTAGTATTTAAGGGGAGAAAATAATTTTAAAATGTAACAGTAAAATCCTCAACTTTCTCTGAGACTCCTCTAGATTGTTAGTTTTGTATTGAGAATTTTCTTCAGAATCTTCTTCACTGGCTTAAAGAAAGCTGACATGCATCTGAGCCACGACAGCACCAAGTTCACCAGATTTGCATGGCTCAGTAGAAAACTGCAAAGCACCTTCATAGGAAAAACGAGAGGAGCCATGCAATCATAGAATACTAGAACTAGAAGGGACCTTGAGAGATCATCAAGTTCAGTGCCGTGCCCTCACGGCAGGACCAAGCACGGTCTAGATCATCCCTGATAGATGTCTGTCTAACCTGCTCTTAAATATCTCTAGTGATGGAGATTCCACAACCTCTCTAGGCAATTTATTCCAGTGTTTAACTACCCTGACAGTTAGGAAGTTTTTTCTCATGTTCAATGTAAATCTTCCTTGCTGCACTTTTAAGCCCATTGCTTCTTGTCCTATCCTCAGAGGCTAAGGAGAACAATTTTCCCTCCTCCCTCTGAAACCCTTTTAGATACCTGAAAACTGCTATAATGTTCCCTCTCGGCCTTCTTTTTTCCAAACTAAACAATCATTTTTATTGTTCTGCTCTGGACCTTCGCCAATTTTTCCACATCTTTGTTGAAATGTGGTGCCTAGAACTGGACACAATACTCCAGTTGAGGCCTAATCAGCACAGAGTAGTGTGGAAGAATGACTTCTCGTGTCTTACTCACAGCACTCCTGTTAATGCATCCTAGAATCACGTTTGCTTTTTTTGCAACAGTGTCATGCTATTGACTCATATTTAGCTTGTGGTCCACTATGACCCCTACATCCCTTTCTGCAGTACTCCTTCCTAGATGTCCACTTCCCATTCTGTATGTGAGAAAAGGATTGTTCCTTCCTAAGTGGAGTACTCAATAGGGACCCAGGAGCTAATGGGACAAGATAATTAGGCCAAACCTTGAAAAGAAGCAGAAAAAGGGGATTTGAGCTTTTTCTCTAATTTTGAACTCATGTATAATAGCTTTTAGTTTGTAGAGAACTATAGCACTTTAGATTGAAAAGCAACCTCCGCTGGACAAGTATGCTTGAAGGAATTTATGCCATCATAAGGTTCCATTTTAAAAACATGAAGGCAGTATTTTTCTGAATTAATCCTCAATTTCTAATATGTACGTGCACAGTAATAGTTATATACACAGGATGTTAAAAATAAAAATGTGTATAAATATGAAATTTTGACTCATCTAACCATTTTTTCCTTTTAGCCCACAGAATCTTAATCAGAGAATGGATGTGTTCTATTTACAACCGGAATGCTCTGTTTCCTCGGATAGCCCTGTCTGGTATACTTCCACTTCACTGGACCGCAACACTTTGGAACATATGCTTGTACGGGTTCTTTTAGTAAAAGATATTTATGATAAAGACAATTATGAACTCGATGAAGACATAGATTAAAATAAACTTCCAAAAGCTGTCAGGACAAAAAGAACAGCATTAGATAGTCATGCTGCTAGACCTTTATTATGGAAAACATTTCAAGTTTACTCTTTGTTTTATGAGTTTTGTAGCAGTGTACCCTCACCTGGGTATTACCATGTAAATAATTTGTGAGTGAAAGTTGCCATTATTCTATGTAGTGATTTTAGGATACTTAACAAACACATTCAAATTCATTTTTTATTATTTATTTGATTAGGTATGTTTGTAACTTTTTACATTGCAAAATATGAATGAGAATGTGCCATGTGTAATTTTTTTCTTGTAGTAAGAAACATCCATATTGCACAACTCTACTGTTGAAAGCTTCCTTGAAAGGAGGCTCTTTTACTGGGTTCTTCAACCAGATGGTTGTGTATGGGTAGCACTACTAAAGTTTAGAACTTGCTGTGTCTTTCAGGATTTTTAAATAAATTGTAAACTAATAGGTTTTTTTACTTTTTAGTTACTGAAGCCTTATAAGGTTATGTAGAGAGATTCCATCTTATGTACCAAAAATAGACAAAAGAGAATGCTGTCAATATTGGTGTACTGTAATGTGAATCTATACTGGTGAAAACAACTTTTTTGTTGCCCTTATTAAAACCTTAGTGTCCTTTCCTTATTTGTGACTCTCTGAATTGCCCCTTCAAATAAAATATACTTTAAAAATGAGCATAAGTGTAAGGCATGTGATCATCTAGACATTTATTTTGTGAAAATGTCTGATGGCAATGCTATAATTTTCTTTTCCATTTTTATTTTGCCAAACATAAATGCTGGTACCTCATATTTCTATAAATCAGTCCTTCATAGCAAAAGGGACTTTAATGCAGTATTACAAAAAGTAATACAGTATGCTAAATTTTTTAACTTTTTTTGCTTGTCATTGCTATGTTGTACTTAAAAACTAACATTTGATTATGGGTTGTAAGAGTTCTTTTAACGAATGTCTTCATTAAAAATATAGAAGACACATGAAGTTACAGAAAGTCAAAACATACTTTTTTAAAACTGCTTTCCTTTGTGCTATGTCTTTTCAATATATTTATTTTGTATAAGGAATCTGATTTCCAGATGTATATGTTTAGCCTCTCAAGTTTTGTTTGTTCCCTGCTCTTGATTGACTATAGCAGGCAAAATGGTGGTTTGTGCAATGATCTTTCCTATAATACACAAGAAATCATAGTACAGCATTCGGCTATCAAGAAGGTAATTAGTATGGTATTCCTAATGATTTAAGTATCTATTGATAAGGATCAATTATTACTGAGATGAAGGAAAGAAAATTGTTTTATATAACTTTTTGCCATGAGATTAATTTCCTGCAGAGATGCAAATGTTTTTCACTTTCCGTATTTCATTTCCTGGACATATAGGGGGTGTTAACTTCTATAAAGAGAAATAAAGCTGCAAGTGCTTTGTTTTGATAAAGAAATGTATTTAAATTTCTGCTACTCTCTTCTGTCCATGAGTATATATTAACTTCAGATACATCACCAATAGAAAGGCAGATGAATATACACATTTTTAAATTTTTCTTTATTTTGATTGGCTAAATTGGTACTAGGTCTCCCAAAATGATTTCAGTTGTACTGTTGCCTTTTTCCAGGCAATGGTGCAACTTCAGTAACTAAAATTTAATACCTGTTTTTTCAAGTAATATTAGTCTAAAATATTCATGAGATAGAAAAGCTACTTGATTTTAAAATAAATTTCAAGCGTTATAATCACTATTTTAATAATTCTATGTTTTGAGAGCTAAGTTTCCAATTCAGTGAAGTACTTGAGTCCAAACTTAACTTTAAGTAAGTGAATAGTCCCAGGGTATGTCTATACTAGCCCCCTAGTTCGAGCTAGGGAGGCTAATGTAGGCATTCGACATTGCAAATGAAGCCCGGGATTTAAATATCCCAGGCTTTATTTGCATGTTCCCTTCTGGTCGCCATTTTTAAATTCTACTAGTCCGAAGTAACTTCCCGTGGCTACACGCGGCAGTCAAATGGTAATTCAAACTAAGTCCTTAGTTCGAATTAACTGTTACTCCTCAAGAAAGTACATAATGTTTGACTCTTGTGCTTACATTTCTGTATACGCTGGTATGTTTTGCCTGAACAAAAGCTGATTATGGATATCCTTTGAGTAAAAAATAAGGACTCTCGTTAATATGACATACTGGAGACTAATCTACATTGTTCTCTATTTCATAAGGAAGTAATTACTGAAGTCTATCACGTTATTGCCCTAAATTTCTTCCATTCTCTGAGTTCTACTCCCCAATTAAAATTTAAAAAACGTAATTTAGGCAGGGTTTAAAATAGACGTTTCTACATATTGAGCCGAGTTGGTAATATAAAGATGGCTGACATGAAAATAACTCTTACTCCAGAAGATGGAGCTCTTCCATCATTAGCAATAATGTTTATTTGGGTGTTTAGCGTGTTTAGATTAAACACTGTAAACTGTTGAGATACTGTAGTCAAGTACACATCATGCCTCAATGTATACATGTTGTTATATCATTTCTAAATTTTAATGGTGATACAAACTGCAATAAACAGCCTTAGCTCTAATAAATAAATAAATAAATAAATGCAATTTTGTAATAATTAGGAGTTCAGGGCAAATATTTTTTCTTTTTAAAGACTATTGCTAGTCCAGTTCTTGACCATCTTGGTTCCAAGGAACAATATGAAGATATGTGTAGGCCTGTATAGCCATCTTGTTTCACACCAGGTGTCTAGGTTAATGGCATACCTAAATAATTTGCTTGACCTCCCCCATCTTGTGCAGAGTAAAGAAAGAAGTATGAAAAAGTGCCTTGGCTTTCTTGGCCTTTAGTGTTAACTGGTACAGCTCACCTTAGTGAGAAGTATAACTTGGTAATTAATCAGTTGTATAGTTGGTGTCTGTGCGTTTCCCCCTTAGAGGGCACTGGCAACATGTGGTAGCCGAAAGACAAATTTTCTGCCACTTCCCAAAATTTGCCACCTTGTGCTAAAAGTCTCTTTTTCTGCATAGAAGAAACGTTTTATCTAGAAACTGACTCTCCAAAGAAACTTATATTTTTAATAATAATTAAAACTAAGATGGCAACTTGAAGATATTGAGAAAATTAGAGTGGCAACACTAGGCACGATGCAATGCAACTACAACTTGCAGTGAAAAATTTTATACAAACAAAAAGTTCCTTATTGGAAATTGTAAAAGTATTTGGTTTTCTATTAAAATGATGCTTTCTGTGCAGTGACATTGTGAGTGTGGAACCAGGTTTTTGTAGTTTTTGCCTTATGATATAAAGCACAATGAAGACTTATAAGAGCCTGGCTATTAATTGGGAAAAAAGTAGTTGTGGAAATAACTTTCAACATTTAACATATCGTTTTTAGAAGGTTTTTGAAAAGGCTAAAAACAAATCTAGAATGCAATAATTTATGTGCTTCTTAGAAGCTCCATTATGGTAGGTAGAAATGTATTAAAAAGACCTTTGCCCCAAAGAGCTTGCATTCTAGAAAAAGGACATAGATAAAAAGTGTATGTGTGGAGAGGAAGAAAGATAACATACAAGCAGAATGATGCTAGGCACACATCTTAATTCAGTTTTTTCCTGTATATATTTTAAAATTTTAGCTTAACTACTTTTGCCTATTCTGTTTTTATTAATTTTGGTCCAATTTTCTATTAAATAGACAAAAATAAATATCAGACACCTTTAATCGATTTTATTCAAAAGTAATCTTATAGGGAATGTATATTGGGAACTTCTGTTCTCCCACTTGTAACATAAGAACAAGTGAATGATCAATGAATTACACAATAGCAAATTTAAAACTAATAAAATATTTTTTCCACACAACACATTATATCATTGAGTTCTCTAATCAAATTGTCATGGAGGTAAAGAATTAGCAAGATTCAAAGAGGGATTGGACATCTATATGGAAAACAAAATTATCTACGGTTATAACTAGTTCTAGCAAAATTTTGGAATGGATTTTAACATCATTCTTAAAACTTAGTTAAATTATCAAATTTGTTTTAAGAAAATAACCTTTTCTATAAAAACCTTTCAGCCTGAAAGGTCTCATGATATGCAGATCATACCAAGAATTCCTTAATCTGCTGTTCCGATGCATCCAATCTTGGTATGAAATGTGGCAAGTGTCTAACATACTATCACTACAAAGTGTTTGACAGATCAATATTTACTCTCTTGAGCCACCCAGAAGTATGTTAGGAACCTCACAAAGTCAAGTGGAGATGTGGGGTTTAAATTTTTAGCTCTGCTCTGCTTTTTGTACTGCTTAGGTAGTAAAAAGGGAATTGAAAATACTTTTTGGAGATGTCAAGTGTGGTCGGGGGGTGCGGGGGAAGTCCCCAATGGATGTACAGCCTCCCCAAAGGCAAGAAGAGGGTGGCTGGGGCATGCTGTACACCAGGTGTGCTCTATTTGTGAAGAGTCCATGGGGATCATTGCCAGATGGCTTAGACTAGTCTGAAGGCTGTCTTGGGTTGCTTATGTAGGGTACTGAATGCAAGTTTGGAACTTGACAAATAATATTACATGAACTGTGTATAATGTTATAAGATATCAAACACCTTCAGGCTGCTCTAACTTAATTCAGCAGCTGGGCAGAAAGTCTGGGCATTTTAACAGTTTCAATGAGGTCTCTTATTCTTTGTTATGCTGAATAGTTCCTGGCCACAGCAAAGATTTTAGCTCATGGTCCATACCCAAAAAAGTAAAAAATGTAACCTGGTACAACAGCAATTCCCTCTCATTTTTCCCACCTCTGAGAGGAATGAATTTTGTTACATGCACCAATATAGAAACAGAACCAGAAAGGACCTCAGGAGGTCATGTAGTCCAGACCCCTACACTCAAGGCACTAAGCACCAGTTAGTCCATGGGTGGGCAATAATTTTTGGTGGGAGGCCACTCCAAGATTTTGGAAAGTGGTCAAGGGCCACACTTTTCTGTTGAGGGGGTACGGATTCTAGGAAGGAGGCTGGGTACAGAAGGGCACACGGGGTAACGGGCTGGAGCACAGGAGATGGTATGAGGTCTGAGAGGGAGTTTGGATAAGGAGGGGGTTGCGACCTGGAGCAGGGGATTCAGGTGTAGGGTCAGGGAGGGAGTATGGGTACAGAAGAGGATTCTGGCCTGGGTGGAGGGATGTAGGACAGGGTGCCGAGTCTGGGAGGGAGTTGTGACCTGGGGTAGGGAGGTGCCAAAGGTTTGGATGGTGACCTGGGGCAAGGAATTAGGGTGCAAGAGGGGAAGAGGTAGGCTCTGACTGGGAGGCGCTTACCTAAGCATCTACTGGCCGGCAGTACCCCTAAGGCAAGATGGGCACCCCGCCTACTGCAGCCCTCGACAGCTTGAAACTGCAGGCTACTCCCTCTCATATGGCTCTCTGGGAGGGAGGAGAAGCTTGTGCTGCCCTATCTCCCAGGCTAATCTCTTAGCTCCTTCCTATTGGCTGGGGGGTTCCAGCCAATAGGAGCTAAGTGATTTGAGGTTAGTTCCTAATGGCCAGTTGTTTCCAGCCAATGGAAGGAGCTGATGATTGACCTAGAGGCAGGGAGATCATACAAAGTCTCCGCCTCCAGAGGAGAGAGGCCCAAGGAGCAGCCCTGTGCTTAGATCAGTAGCTGCTACATGCCTGAGAGTCCCGGCTGGGGGGGGAGGGGGGGTCTGCATGCTGGATCTGGTGGCTCAGAGACATATCTTGCCCACCCCTATCTAGTCCATCCCTGACAAGTGTTTGTCTAACCTGCTCTTAAAAATCTCCAATAATGGAGATTCCACAACTGCACTAAGCAATTTATTCCAGAGTTTAACCAACCTGACACAAAGATTTTCCTGATGTCCAACCAAAACCTCCCTTGCTGCAGTTTAAGCCCATTGCTTCTTGTCCTATCCTCAGAGGTTAAGCAGAATAATTTCTTTCCCTCCTCCTTGTAATACATTTTTAGGTTCTTGAAAGCTGTTATGCCCCTTCATATTAGTGCACAGAGCAAAATTCATGTGGTAGGGGGCAAAGAGTTCTGAGTTGGCAGGAGGGGCTCACGTCTGGGGCATGAGGTTGGGGTGCAAAGGTATATGGGCTCTGGGATGGGACTGGGGAGGAGGAGCTCAGGGCTGGTAGAGTGCAAGAGGCTCAAGTTGGGGTGTGGGCTCTTGGAGGGGCTAGAGATGAGGGTCACAAGGGTGGGGATGCAAGCTATACAGTGAAGCTAGCTTGAAGGGTCTGGGAAGATGGAGAGTGCTTGGGGGTTCCTGAGAGAGGATTCCCCTCAGCTTTCTCCTGGCAGCAGTATGAGAGCTGTGTGTGGGGGGGAGACATCTTTCTTCACTGTGGCACCTCTGGGGCTGGGGCAGTAGGATAGGCATCCTCCTCCCAATCTGTCAGCTTCAAGTCAGGTCTGGGTTGGAGTTGGGATTGAGCCATCCCAGCCACAGCTGGGGATGGGTCTCCCCCATCCGCGGTGAGTTAAAGCAAGATCAGGGGATAAGTGGGGATCTGGCTCTTGAAAGGGGCATAAGGGGTGGGGACAGGGCAGCGAGCCCTCTGCACTGCCAGGGCTCAGGCAGCAATTTAAAGGGTCCGGAGCTCCAGCCATCATGGCCACTGCATTAGTAGTGGCCAAGAGGCTCTGGCCCTTTTGAATTGCTGGGTTCTAGAGCAGTTGCCCTTTTGCATCACCTGTCGGCACCTTCAGGCCATCCTTCCCCTCGCCACAGCAGGTTGGAGGATGGGCTAGATTGGGGCTAGGCCCTCCTCCAGCTGCATAGGTACCCCCGGCAGGTTCCTTGAACACCTGCATGTTGCTAGATAGGTGGCTGTGCAGCTGACAGGGAATGTAGGCTGGAATTTGAGGTTCATCAATAGCCAAAACGGGCAGATAGAGACAAGAAGGACTAGGATGTTTCTTACCTCAGTAAATGATCATTACATCGTGCTGTACCTTTTTTATATAGAGGGGAAGCCGTGTTAGTCTGACTCTGCAAAAGCGGCGAGGAGTCCTGTGGCACCTTATAGACTAACTGAAGTGTAGGAGCATAAACTTTCGTGGGCAAAGACCCACTTCGTCAGATGCATGCATCTGACAAAGTGGGTCTTTGCCCACGAAAGCTTATGCTCCTACACTTCAGTTAGTCTATAAGGTGCCACAGGACTCCTTGCTGCTTTTTTATATAAGCTCCCCTCCCTCTCCTTTCAATTCTATTAAGTAAGATGGCAGAATTGAATTTTCAGGAGGGATTTGAATGAGACAAGCTTGTGTGGCCAGCAGGTTTCAGAATGCAAACTAGATGTTGAGGCTGGTGACATAGACAGGCAGAGAGCTAAATGTGAAAGGAGATCAGTCAGAGAAGACTGTCTCTGTTTTGAACAGCTAAATAAATGTAGGAAGGCAGAATTCAGTACCTAATTCCAAAGTCAGAACGAACCCTTAGAACATTTTAGTCTTAACCCAGATATCAGACAAAATAAGTTCAACCATTTACCCCATATCCAATCACTGGAGTTGGAATTAGCTACAGTGTCCGTGTTGTAGTCTCAGTTGTTCAAAAGACCTGTATCAGGCCAGTTAAACATTTTAGTTTTCAAGATTCACACCAATGTATTGGTACTTCCAAAAAGATGAATAGCAAAAAGTCATGTGTCAAGGAAATGCTTTTATTTCATGGATTCCAGTTTTGTTTTATAGCTTCATTCAGTAAAGTTACTGACATAGTACTAGTGCTGTACTTCTGCACACACTATTCTAACTGGTTGAGATGCAGTTAGATCTCTAGCTGTCCATGAGTCTGGAGAACATTTCAACTACTATGTCTAAGTATACTTCTATTTGCAGCTAACCTTTCCCAAAATAATTCATGTTTGAGCTAAAGCATATCTTTTAGAATAACATCCAATGTCTAAATTAAAAAATTTCTAGTGATGGAGACTCCACTGTGACTCTATAAATTGTTCCAGTGACTAATTAAAAACGTGTTCCTTATTTCCAGTCTGACTTTCAACTTGCTGTCATTGGATTGTGTTACATCTTGGTCTGCTACAAATCACCCATGAACTTGTTACACTAAATAGACTACGGCATGTTTTCAAATTCTTATGGAGCTTCTGGGAATCCTCCAAATTATCAACATCATTCTTTGATTGTGGACACCAAGACTGGGCAAAGCATTCCTCCAGAGATTTCTCCAATACATTATGTAGAGGCAACATAACCTGTTTATTC